TGCTTATTCTATTACACATTGGCTGGGAGATAAGAATAAACAGGACAACACCCTGTCTAACCCCAGAAGGAGGGGGCGGAGGGAAAGCTGGTGACGCGCACTCTTGGGCATGTATGTGTGCACTGTTCATTCCCAAATTGAGGTACTTGAGAAAACTGTGCCTGCAATAGTCAGGAACTAGGATAAGTACCCAGAAGCCTTCTATTGCACAATCACATCTTTTAGAACAAGCCATGTAGAATAGGGAGCTTTATATTTATAGTCTTTTCCTGCTGCAGAGCACCCTGAAGATATGTAAGTAACTGATGATTATTTCTCGCTGTTCTTTATCAGTCCTATTTTTGTTCAGTCTTTGAGAAACTTAAAAATTAGGGCAACCAAATACATAAACACTGCCTCCCTCCCTGTGACCTAACATGTCAAAAAAGCTGGGAAAGAATCAATCAGCAGCCACAGGGGAAGGGAAACGTGGTGGCCTGGGACTGTTTTCTCCCTGCTCCACAAAGGAGAATGGCCAGTCCTTGCGCCAGCTGCTCTGATGCCCATGCAGTGGAGAATTCTGCTAAAGGACAGCAGTTGCTAGGCCAAGTCGGGTTCTAACCAGCCAATCACAAGACAGTATGGCACTGCTGATCCTCATGAAACTGAGAAAAGACTTGACCTCTCTTGGGACTCTCTCCCGGTAACACCTGATGCCCAGAACCATCAATCCCCACTCAACATCTGCCATTTCTTGGTGGCTCTTCCTAGCCCTCCTCATACTGCCCAGTGACCCAAGACCTGAAGGGCCATGCAATCTCCTGGCATGTAAGGAGGGAACGAAGAAAAGCCACTCTAAAAGCTCATTGCCTTCCAGCCACACTGGCCTTCTTGTTGCTTCTCTAGCCCATTTCAGTGGTTCTCACCTTGGGGCCTTTGGACCCAATCTCCCCGCAGCCTAGGTTGTTTTTCCACCAGATAGTCACAAGCGTGGCTCCTTTCTGTTCTCCAGTCTCATAGCACTTGCCACTCTTTGAGAAGTATTTCTTTGCCCCGACCCTAACAATTACTCTGTCAATGACTTGGTTCATAGCATACAGCTTAGTTCCAGGTTTTTAAGTAAACAATTCTCTCCTCTAATAGAATATAAGTTCTGTGATGACAGAGATCACATCAATCTTGTTCACCCCTGCAGACTCAGCATCTTAAATCCCACCTAGTACATAGTATGTGCTTAAAAGAAATTTACTGGAAGGATGAACAGATGAATAAATAAACAGTGAACAGACGAACAAGACAATCTGGTATGAAACCAATGGAAAAACAACTCAAAGCAGAATTATCACCTAATGTCAACCACACTTTTTTTCCCCCAATTTTCCAAGGGGAACCAGGGGTGAAGCCACGTGCAAATGGTACAGCCAGGAAGTAGAGTCACAGAAAACACAGCTTTTTTATACTGTACTCTAAACATAAAACCATTCTGAAATGGTTTGCAAGAGATTCTTAAAATTCAAATAGAGGAGGGGGAAGAAAAAAAAGAATGTATTTGGACGTCAGCAAGATAGTTCTGCAACCTAATTATGCCCCATGACATGTAATTGTAAGTTGCTGAAAGACAAATGGTGAACCAAGGCATTTATTATAAACACGGGCAGAGGTAAGACTGAGGTGTTAATTTTTAAGCAACTGTCATAAATCTGGTTCCAGGATATTATTCCATTAACATTATTATTATTATAACAAAGAGTGTAAGCATGATGATGAGCTCCTTTCATGTATTTCTCAATACTTGGGAAATGAGGCTTACTAGTCAATCTCTAGCTGAAACACCTGAGAAAATACGAGAATACAATGAAAATGGCAGAATACTAATTATATTAAACATGAAAAAAAATAAAAAAAAATAAACATGAAGAGAGTGGGTCTCCACATTGGAGATTCACTCTAAATGCATTCATATCTTTTGTTAGACACCATATTACTCAATCCAAGAAAGGTACACTCCACAGCTCCTTATATGGAAGAGTCAGCCTATGGAAGGCAAAGCAAAACGAAACAAAAACAGAAAGCCTACACACACTAAGTGAGAAAATTATGGGACTGGAACTAGTCAGTAGTGTCTTAAAGGCAAACTAGGGATTTTTCTCAGAATCAGAATAGAATGAAAACCTCTCTCCCCTGGAGAAATGTGACTGAGAAAAGGAGGGGGGAGAAAGGATACGTAATGGTTCCTCTCGTAACAAAAAGTGACAAAAAACTATGACGTGCAGTTTTGAAAAATAGTCTAGTTACTGCTATGTTTTGAAAAGCATTCCAAATTCCAAAATGTTGTCTCTGTGCCACTTACCTTCCTATAAATTTATTTGTCATTATCATACCTTCAAATTATAAAAGAGTGTTTCTCCCCACTTTATTGAAATATTGGGATCAGGCTCCAAAAAAGAAAGGAGAGTTTTAAGATTATCCATACCAACTATGATATGTAATATCATAAACATAGTGAAATCTTTACGGATATCATCCAAAAATTTTGAAAACTCTTCACAATGGTTACTAACAATCTATCCATTTTAGTTCATGTGGGAATGTTTAACTCCATTCATCAAAAAAGAATACTACAATGGTATAAAATGGTATTCATTATGATTAAGACCTAATCACTAAAGAAATCCAGAGGTATGGAATTTATGATCTTGCATACATGTTTATAAAATGTGAACTCGGCAAAGAACCATTTAATCTACCAAGAAATCCTTTGATCTCTAGTGCATTACAATGAAGAAGACAATGGCAAGTTTCAGAGCAGAGATCTTTTTGGATGGCTCCTACTAGACTTCAGATTTCTCCGTTCCGGGTTAGGGTACAGAGCTGACCTACAAGACTGTCATTTTTTGTTGCAGCTTTGCTTTTACAGAGCCCCAAGCAAAGCCCCGACTATAAATCAGGCAGCAGGGCCCCGGGAGCCAGCTGAGTCATAAACCCCGCTCAGTCGCATGTGGCTCAAGGTGTTAGGATCCCGCAAGAGTCAAGCCAAGCAAGTGGAATCAATTTAGTCCAGAGTTAGGAAAAACAGAGTGCTTCCCTCCACCCCCCTCTACCCCCAACTAGGAGTGGAAGATACCACAATTCCCCTCCATAGCTCAAATATGGGGACAGTAACTAAGCCCAGGAAAACATCTAGACCAGGGCAGACTACTTCCACAGTCTAAAAAGAAAGAAAAAAAAAATGAGGGAAAAATGATACTTGACAACCAACCACAAATTTTTAAATGTACGGTTCTTCTGTTTTTAAGCATAAAGGCAGTCTTGTTGCTGCTGAGTTATTATCACCACCACATTTTCTGACATTTGTGCCCAGTACCATTTGGCCTTAGGGTTCTTAGGCTTATTACTTTCAAAATACAGAGTTAAGCATGTTTAAGTCACTTTAAATATCTCAAAAAGCAGCAAACCCACTGCCTACCTGCTTGGGCACGCAAACTTTTTCAAAGAGAGGCTTTATAGAATGGCCCGCAGGTCAACAAATTCTGGTTTTGGCTGACTGCTGTCAGGAAAGAGCTACAGAAAATGAGGTCCTCTGTATGAAAAATACTCTCCCTTTGGTTTCCTCAGGTCAGAACTTGGACCTGTTAGCAAACATGCCCTGAAAAACTGCAACTCTCATAAAGTGCTAAAAACTCCCAAATAAATACAGCCCCTCAAAACTGGGTACAAATGAGAAACATTTAATGAACAACCCTTTCTTCGCCAATAATTCTTAAGTCCAGCAGACTCTTCAAAGGGACCAAAGAAGCCTCCTTGTTAAGACAAATTCTGTATATAGATATCCAAAACAATATTGATGCACCTAACCAAATATAAACGATTATCCTAGTTTCTACATTCCATTATCTTCATAAATACAGGATAAAAAATTAGCCTAAATGACTTTCTCAGACCTCCTTGAAGATTAAGAATAGCCAGCCAGTTTTAAAAAAGTACATGTATATAGTAAAGATCAAAAGCAAATGTTCTGGTCAGTTCTTTTCTACTCAGGGGTTTTAGTAAGAACATATGCAGTTTTCAGGGAAAACACCACAAATGACAGCTGTTCAAAAGCATGGAAATTAATTGGCAGCAGGAATTTCCTTGACTAATAGGGAAAAATTTAAAAATCACATGTTTTGATGAGCTTATTTTTCCTATCCTTAGTCAAGCATATTCACTGTTAATGATTAAGATTTCCAAACAGAAATATAACCAAGTAAAATCCTGAGTGCATAGCAAGTAAAATGCTAAGTGAAACACAGATACCTATTACTGAATTAACCACAGCATTAAAAATGAGTTTTAGGTGAAAATAACATAGAGGGAAAGGATCAACTTGAATGTCTTGATTTTCCAAAAGAACCAAACTAAGAAAACAGTGAAAATAATGCATTTACTATATTAAAAAATAGTAGCAAGACAAGTGACTCTTCCTACCACCTCCCCTCCCCCGCCATGAGCCATCTGCTTTGAGCTGTTTTTCCAGCAGTGGTGATGGATTTACACTGATCCATCCACAGTCTCTCTGACAGAGGGGCTCTCAAGTCGTTGCCCTTGTGACCAATGGTGAGAATGGATGAGACAGCTGGTCAGGATTAGGCGAGTAGCCCATGACCCTGGAAAGAAGTTGTGTTACTCTGCCCAGAGCTATGACCTTGGGTTCATTAGCATTATGCTCTCACCACCTAAGCTAACCAGCCACTCATCAGCCACAATCCAACATACATCATTCTGGGGGCACAATGTGTTTTCAATCCAAGCAACAGTGTGAGCTTTTAATTTCGAGACAGTAAAATTTGACTGGGCCCATGACACCCAAAGGCTCCTTCCCACATGGGTACAGTCTACACACAAACTGTCCCTCAAGGCAGCAACAAGATATCCAGGCATTGTCATCCTAATCAAATGGCAGCTCTGACAGAGCTCAGGGAAAGCAAGAAATAGAGAATTTCCGAAGCATGTAATCCAAGTGCCACCATGGAACAACGTACCTGGCCATCCCCAGACTTGGAAAGTTGGCAGGGACGACGAGTATGTCCAGCCTGGAGAACGGGTGTGTTCCCAGGACAGAGTGTGCTGCTGAGAGGCAAGGAAGGACCAGTGGCAAAAGGGTCTCTTGACAGGCACCCTGGAGGCACACCGGGGCAAAGACCCGATGAGGAATAACTTCCTGGGTGGTAGCAGAAGGATTCTGGAAGCGGCAGGGGTATTCCATGTGACCACAAACGCCAACACACCTGGGAACAACACGAAATCAACAGATGCACTTTATGGTAAATCAGGTTTATTCTTGTTGCCATGGAGGTGAGCAACTCTCACAGACATGCACAACTTCTAAGAGACAGTGGTTCAAATGGGCTCGCAATCAAGAGAGTTCAATTGAATTCTTGTCTGTGTCTGTGCAGCAGTGAAAAATTATAGGTCAAAATACCTATTGATGTGCCAAATTGACTGAGTAGCTTCAATCTAAGCTAAGTGAAAGTAGGTTTTACTACTTACTTTAGAATAAACGGGAAAATCCCCCAAGACTCCAAACAACACAAGAACCCCCTCCTGAAAATAGAAAGCACAATTTCTGCCCTCTGAAATGCTTTTTGTTTTTTTGTTTTTGTTTTTAAGATGTATTATTTATTCACAAGAAGCACAGAGAGAGAGAGAGAGAGAGTGAGGCAGAGACACAACACAGGCAGAGGGAGAAGCAGGCTCCATGCAGGGAGCCTGACATGGGACTCGATCCCGGGTCTCCAGGATCAGGCCCTGGGCTGAAGACGGCGCTAAACTGCTGAGCCACCCAGGCTGCCCTGTATGTGCTTTTTGAATATCACCATGGGAAATAAATCTCCAAATCAGAAACAATTCATAACTCAGAAAGTTAAGGATGGTGCAAAGCCAAATTAAAGATCCCATTCTGAAATTTCCTAGAATAAAAGATGTGGACTCAGGTAGAATAATGAACCAAATGATAGGACAGATTTCAACTTTTCAAAAGAATACAATGCAAAAAAAAAAAAAAAAAGAATACAACGCATTGTACTAAAAAGTAATCTAGGTGCTCTTATTAAAGGCCATCGGAAGTTGTGTTCTTTTTTTTTTTTTAATTTATTTATAATAGTCACAGAGAGAGGGAGAGAGAGAGAGAGGCAGAGACACAGGCAGAGGGAGAAGCAGGCTCCATGCACCGGGAGCCCGACGTGGAATTCGATCCCGGGTCTCCAGGATCGCGCCCTGGGCCAAAGGCAGGCGCTAAACAGCTGCGCCACCCAGGGATCCGGAAGTTGTGTTCTTATGGAATACAGAGGTACTTTTGAAATGACACTTTTCCCTCTTTTGCTATAAATTGAACTGAATCAACCTTTTAAGGAAACAGATCAGAGCCCAGCTAGTACCATCTGATCGCTGCCAGTTATTCTGCCGAAGGTGAAGCTGAACAAGAATTCCTAGAACCTGACTCATAGGCCTCAAGAGAACTTATCTACCCAAAGAAACCCACATCAAAGTGAACTCTGTTTTTTTTGTTGTTGTTGTTGTTGTTGTTGTTTGCCTGTTAACACATCCTTTATTCAAACACAATGGAAAGCCCCTCTAATTTTAATTTACAAATTATAATTCTAACTACGGGTGCTTATTGGATTCAGAGTGAATAGTGAAAAACCTTAAAATGCTGGCATGTTCCAGTAGGGACAGGCCACAACAATAATTCCTCTCCAGATTTCTAAAGTGCCTTTCTGTCATCCAAGGCCAGTGTGTTGCCCAAGGAGATGCACACGGCTATAGAGATACGCCTTGCCTTCTCACAGCCTGGTGCAGAGAACACAGCTTTCAGCACCCATGACATTTCACCGCTGTTGAGGGTAAGAAAAATGGGTGGAGATGCATAAACACTTCTACCAGGAAAAGGTAACAGCCAGAATATAATTATGGACATTGAATGCCAGCCAAAGCCCCTGGATCAATACCCTTGCTTTATGGACAAAGCAAGTAAAGGTGCCTATTGGTAAACATTTAACTAAACATGTTGCAAATGTCTACCCAATGACAAGTACTGTGCCGCTGCAGCCATTCAATCAAAGATCTCATGATGTAAAGAAAGCTGCTTATTGAGTTAACCACCTAATATATTTATATAGATGTATAATGGATGATAATTTAAGCATACCCTCTCTACTAAAAACCTTTCAGAGCACATTAAATCCTAGAGAAAATGGAGATCATCTTCAGTACAAAATTGGGGCATAAGTTTAAATTCTACCTATCAAAGCACAATTTCGCAAGGAGGCATTCCACGGGCCTATCTAGAAATCTATCATGGGGCCAGACTATTTCTTGTAGCCAAGAAAGGTAAGAGAAGAGTTGGAGGTATTTTTAAAAAGACAATTCATAGGGATGCCTAGGTGGCTCAGTCTATTGAGCATCTGGCTCTTGGTTTCAGCTCAGGTCATGATCTCAGGGTCATGGGATTGAGCCCGTATCAGGTTCGTACTGGGCTTGCACTGGGCATGGAGCCTCTTTGGGATTTTCCCCCTCCCTTTCCCACTGCCCTTCCTCACTCCTCAGCTCACATGCTAGCTGTCTCAAAAAAAAAAAAAAAAAAAAAAAAAGCCAATATTGTTGAAGAGAAAAGGTGAGTTAAATTCTCTCTGGACATGAACAGCTCTAGCCAGGGGGATAAAGGTTATTCCATAACCTTTATTAGCACCATTTTTCATACTCAAAGCCTGAGAGAAAATGCAGGACTTTAAGGCAATCAAGCTATGGATAAGTGAGACCATTAAGGTTCCTAATAAAAATTGAAGTGGCTCCAGCAACTGAGTGGCTCAGTCAGTCAGCTGTATCAGACACTTGATTTTGGCTCAGGTCTTGGTATCAGGGTCTGAAATCAAGACTTGCATCAGGCTCTGCACTCAGCAGGGAGTCTGCTTGGGATTCTCTCTCCTTCTCCCTCTGCCCCTCCCCCTCCTTACATGTATACATGCGCTCTCGGTCTCTCTCTCTCAAATATATAAACAAACATAAATTAAATTAAAAATAAATTAAATTTAATTAATTAAAATCTTGGAAAAAATGGAAGTAGCATCAGGAAAGATGACACAAAGGTTCTGACGTCAGGATCAGGAAAGCTGGGCTTCAGTGGCTGTTCTCAGAGGGGCCAACATGATGTGAGGCAAGGAACTCAGTAGCTGGGGCCTCTTTCTCCTTGTCTCTAACATGATCTCACAAAAATGACTGCAAGGGGGAGGGGAGGAATTGATCGCAGGGAACTTACTGGGCGTTGGAACTTCTCTATCAGTTTCGGGTGTAAACAGTCACCAAAAACCCCTCAAGCCAAACACTTAAGATCTGTGCATTTTGTTGTATGTTAATTATACTTTAATTAAAAACAAACAAAAGAATGGTTTCTAAGGTTTCTTCTGGCACTGTGGTTCTGTGACAACTCTCCACATGAGGCCCTCGTCCCTCTTCATGCAACAGCCTTGTTCCTGAAGTGGTGAGAGAATACTGTGCATTTAAAATGTTAGGGATCCCTGGGTGGCGCACCGGTTTGGCGCCTGCCTTTGGCCCAGGGCGCGATCCTGGAGACCCGGGATCGAATCCCACGTCGGCCTCCCGGTGCATAGAGCCTGCTTCTCCCTCTGCCTGTGTCTCTGCCTCTCTCTCTCTCTCTGTGACTATCATAAATAAAAAATAATAAATAAAATAAAATAAAATAAAATAAAATAAAATAAAATAAATAAAATAAAATAAAATAAAATAAAATAAAATAAAATGTTATCAGTAGTCCTCCATGAAAGCAGAATTAACTCAAAGATGCTTCCTTTCCCACCAGCCTTCAGCTGTTCATTTCTGTATCTGTGCCTGTTCCAACCTACTCTCACTATCATCGGCAAATCAAGCATTTGTAAATCTCTCTTCTCTATGCCCACACTCGTAATCAGGGTAAATATTTTAACAGTTAAGATTAATAATAATGCTTGGTTGTTCTTTATAAATAATCTGTGCTGGTGACAGTAAGAATAATAAACAATAACTCCTACCACAACTGCTATTGAACATTTATTATGTGCCAAGAACTTTTCTGAACACTTCGTGTGCATTATCCTGATTAATCCATGTAACATTCCTAAGGCATAAGAATTATTTTCTTCACCACATCGTGAGTCATCATAAGCTCCTCCCTCCCAACCTTCCCTCCCCAGGTACTCCATTAATCTTGAGTAAATCTGGATCCTGGATTTCCTGGATTTTTCTAGAAGCTGAGCTCAGCTGCTCTGTGGTTCTCTGGTTTCCTGCTCCTCCTTGTTGATATTGCCCATTAATATTGCCAAGAGTGGGAAGAACTGGTGAAACAAATATTAGGCTGGTAAATGATGGGAACCAGACCACTGGTTACCTCTTCTACAGCTGATGGGCTGAAATTATTTTACAAGAGCCCTCTCCACAAGAGTGACCATGTTTTACTCGTAATCACAAGATTGGAAATTGCCTAAAGAGGTTCTCTCCTTCAGCCCTCCTTTTGTTTCAAGAATGAGATGTATTGAAAGTAGCTGACACAGACGTTTCCCTGTCATAGGCTCAAAAGGAATCACTGGAAGTTTCCCTGGGGATTGCATGTCCTTTTCTCACAATTCAACCCAACTATTTAGTAATTACTTCCTGCATTCTTGGCTCTACTCAAGGCACTCCAAAGGTATGCCACGTACACAAATGTGAATAAATTTCCAACTCTATCTTTGAGGAGTTTACAGTTTTGTTGGAAGAAAAAAATTTAAATTTTGATAAGTACAGTGTCACAAAAAGATGTTCAGACAATTTATTAACATATCTTATTTAGCAAGCAGAATAGATGCTCAACTGTTCAAAATGCCACCACCAGCCATTGATGAGTTGCTGACACTGCTGTCAATATACACCATGGTGCGGTCGTGTCTGAAAGCCGGACACATTTCCTTAGGATATTACAAAGCAAAATGCAGTATGTGCTATAAAAGCCAGAAAGCTGAAATACACCAGGGCACGAGGACTGAAGAAATCATACCAAGCCAGGAAGGTTTGGAAAGGGTTTTCTCATGGCAAAATGTGTACTGGAAACTGGCATTTTCCCCCATGATTTAAGTATGACTCCTACTTCTCTAGCTTTTCAAAGACACAGACATAGAGCCTCATCCTGCAAAGTCTACAAGCAACTGTCCATAGACTTCACAACTCACAAGAAGACTGTTTCTACCACCAAGCCATCCCTTCTTTACAATGAGCAACCTCAATGCCTTTTCTTCTTCATGGTGTGCATTTTCCATGCTTTAAATCATTTTTGCTGGGTTCCTCTGGACTTTATCCAAGTTTCCATGTCATGCTTAAACTGTATGGGCCCAAAGTGAAGATGGTGCTTTAACAAAGGCCTCCAGAGGTGAAACATAATACAAAGATTCCTCTGCGGCTGGAGAAGGTTATACTACTGCCGAAGAAAATTAATAAACTTTCAACCGTTTTACCTAAGTGCTTTTTAATTAATATATTTACCAAAATGCTCACCCAAAGAGGGCCAGAGCATGTGTGGAATTGGAGCTGGAAGAGGAAATGTTCTTCCTATAATTTAGCCCACATGAACAGTGATCAAAAGTTCAGTGACCAATACTTTGGCCAAATTTCTGGGACCCAGATGAATACTTTAGGCAAATGAAAGCCTGTGGTATATAAGGCCCCTATAAAAGTTACATTTACGTGAATTGAGCTGGTGGTCTTAGGAAGGTTTGAAGTAGAAGCGGGGGGCTGGGGAAGGCAAGGGGACCAGATGTGAACATAACCAAAAACACTACTGCAGTTGGCACTTCAGAGTACCTTTGTTGGCAAACTTAGTATGGACCCAGAGATTTAATGGATGAAAACACAAAGCTACCCTCTGATGACTAAAGACAGCACACATGAAGCACACAGCCAGGGGAGGATTAAGCAAATGCAAGCTATTATTTTATCAGCAGTATAGTTGTGATGGACAAGCACAGTGATAAATGAAGGGAAAACTTAGTCATAGCGTGTCAGACACAGAAGGGAGTGTGGGAAGGACTCCATTCCCAGGCCTCACGTTTCAACACAAGGACATGCGTCCCTGAAGTGGCACCCCTGACCTGGCTTGGGCTGCTCTGCTGGGCATGGCTACACTGGCTTTCCTCTTTTCCAGTCTGCTTGCCTACAGACAGGGTACTTAATGGCCATGGGTTAGGCTGTGGGTATCTGTGTTGTGGAGGTCACAGCAGTCCAGCTGGGCAGGTAGCTGGATGGGTAAATCTGTCTAGCTTGGAAATGGAATTTTAGCCCGCTGAGGCTGTGCACCCGAGTATTCCCCAGTCCAGCTTCTGGCAATTGCAGAACATTTTCTCTGCTCTCTTTCTGCCTGTTTCACAGCTGGCTGTATACTTTAAGGGACAAGAAAGGAATCATACTGACCCCCTTCCCCTAAATCCCAACAGGAATTTCAGATGCCGTCTCTCCCCAGAATGCCCACTTGAAGTGGCCATGGCCTCCTCCTTCACAATTATGGATGCAAACAAAGTGAAAAGCCATCTCAGTGGCCTCCAGGCAGCAGAGAGAGCACATAAGAAATGGTTGTTGCCCACTCCCCAACCTCATATCCCTGGGAATATGACTACAAGGACAAAATAACAATTTTTTTTCTTTGCCTTCCCTGAAGGCACATGGATTTTAACTGCACACCTCCTCTGATAGTCAAGCAGCCCTCAGGCTGCTTCTTTACCATGAAGAATTAGATAACCTCAAGTAAAATCTTTATGCTACAGAGCAAGAAAGTATGACTTTGCCCCAAGAAACCTATCCAAGCAGTACGGTCAGCATCTTCACACTCAAAGGCAGAACTCTCATGTTCTGTCTTCTGTTCTAATGCAACACATTCCAATCAGTAACAGTGACTCAGTCATGGCACTGAATCTTCAGGCAGGAAGGTGGATCAGACTCCAGGTGAGGCGTGGACAAATTATACACAGTTTGTAAAAGTCCCCAGGTGGGGCGACTGGGAGGCATAGTCAGTTAAGTGTTTGACTCTTTTGGCTTAGGTCATAAGCTAGGAGTCCTGGGATCAAGCACCACATCGGGCTCCATGCAAAATCTGCTTGAGATTTTCTCTCCCCCTACTTCTGCCCCTCTCAGTCAAGCTCTGCCTCTCAAACAAATAAATAAATCTTTAAAAAAAAAAAAAAAAAAAAGTCCCCAGGTAAGATTCTGAATCACATGTGTAAGGGGTCAAGCCCAGATAGGAATCCAGGTGTTGTAACTCAGTAGAGATATGAACATGGACACATTGCTGCCTAAAGCCTCTGTATCTTTATCTATAAAATGGAGATTTAAAAAAGCCAATCTACCTTTTAGGCTTATCCACAGGACTAACTAAGATAACATTTAGATCAAGATTTTCCCTGACTTCAAACATCCAGTGACTTCTGTGTCAATTCAGGAAAGGCTAAGATATGTTGCAATAACAAATAACACCAATGTTTCAGTGGCTTAATAAAAAAAAAAAAAGTTTATTTCTTGCTTAAAACAAGTCCACTGAAGATCCAAGTAACTCTCCAGAGCACCTGTCCTCCCTACACAGAAATCCTGAAATTGCCAAATGAGGCCTATCTGAGCTCAGTGGCAGAGGAAGGGATCACTTGAAGGTCTCAAATGCAACTAAATATTCCCACATGGAAGTAACATGTGTCACTTCTGTCCACAATTCTCCTCTTCCCTGAAGCGTGCATAAATAAAATCCAATAAACTACCAGGACACTCTATATAGCTGAGAGAAGATAGTCTAAAATGGGCAAGTTCCTAAGCAGGAAGTGGAAATTACCTCCCCTCCTCCAAAAAGCAAAACCCAAGCAATAAGACATGCCTATCATAGGAGAGCACTTGATGGCTCTATGTCCTAACAGTACCAACCACCACTGCAGCCACTGCAGTAAGACTGAAAGCAGCATGGCAAAATACAATTGACACTAAAGGAATCTGCACTAAAAGCATATCTTAGTTGGTTTTCAAGGATGAACTACTATTACTCTGGGCTTTCTCTACCAGAAGGTACTGGACCTACTGACTCTGTGTAAACAGGAAAAGTGATTAAACTGAGCTGAGTGTAAAGGTCCTAAGAATGAACATGATACAACGATGCACATTTTGGACACTCTGTACCTCCTATGTACATTCCCCTCCTCCCTTTTGGTTCTGAAGCTAGAAATAGCTGGACGTCTGGGGAGGCTGCAAGTGAACATCCAATGGCCTACGCTGATTTTTAAAAACTTGAAACTCAGGGATCCCTGGATGGCTCAGTGATTTAGCGCCTGCTTTTGGCCCAGGGCGCAGTCCTGGAGTCCTGGGACTGAGTCCCGCATCAGGCTCCCAGAATGGAGCCTGCTTCTCCCTCTGCCTGTGTCTCTGCCTCTCTCTCTCTCTCTCTCTCTCATGAATAAATAAAAATCTTAAAAAAAAAAAGAAAAAACTTGAAACTGATTTTTCTCTGATCCACCCTGAAAAAAAGAAGAAATCGCTACCAAATTAAACAGACTCCTGACCCAGTAGGTTCCCCGTAACCCCACAACCCTGTGACAGCTACCTGTGTCCTGTGCTCCAAAGCAGGCTGACTAGCCCCACTGAGGGAGGTCGTCCCTATAGATGTACTGCTAACAGCAGTCCCCGGAACCCTTACAGTGGAGGGGCCTACAGAGTAATCCAACGATAAGCAACTCCTTTTTATTAAGTTGTGTTTTAACCAAATAAACACTGAAAACCAAAGTTAAAAAGTATAGAAGGAAGGAAAGTGTTGAATCTGAGGGCCCTGTTGACTTAACCAAAACATAAAACTATTGTACCTGACTTCCCAGAGGACTTCATATATACTTCTTTTCTTTTTCTTTCTGCATAAATAATATGCCCACATTTCTGCCTCTCAAGACTCTTTCTCTCTCAGTAGGGTTTTTCCTGCTTTGATTAATCATATTTTGGTTTAGTTTCTCAGCAGGGATGACTCACATTCCCAGTGCTTGGAATACACACATCATACCACTCCCTTCCGTGTTTGTTTTTCAGAAGTTCCCAAATACCGACCTGAAGTCAGCCTCGGAAGGTGTGAGTGATCTCTCTGCTGCCAGATCCTCGGACAAGCAGATCTCTGGCTTCATTTCTGCCCAGGAGCCCACTGCGATCGTGAAGGTAGAGGCTGGCATCGGCATAGTTACATAGTAATGCCAACTTGCACGCCCTATAAACAGGAGAGAAACAGCCACAATGAAATCAAGGAAGGGTTTCTGGACCTTACTCTTTGGTTTTTCTCTCTAGGCACTTGAAGAACTTGTGTGATAAAATGGTATGAGCTATTCTTGGGTTGGGGGGGGGTCATATCTACCACAGGAGCATCACTGTAGGTCTCAGGGAGAGCACAGAGGGCTGCTGGTTTTAGGGTGGTCTTCTGTATCTCCTTGAAGACCAGGAATCAGTTTAAAGCGCTTCAAGTAGGCTATCAACAAAGGGTGGTAACTGAGGTGGTCACATATGGGCTGCAAATATGCAAGGGGGCAGGCTGCATGCTGCTACAGAGACAAGAACGTGTTTTCTTCATACTTAATGCCTAGCACAGTGTTTGGCACAAAAAAAAGGACGCTCTGCTGAATGAACGAATGACCAAATGAATGATTGCTCCTTTGGTGCTAAACTGTTTTGTCTACATTCAATTTAAGTCACTCTGAAATGGCTATGGTAGAGAACAATGAGACTAGGGAAGGAAGATACCTGGGTTTCAGTCTCAACTCTGAAACTAATTAGCTGTGGAAGCTTAGATTTATCCCTCATCCTTTTTATCTGTTTATGTACTGGGCTAGTCCCCCATTCCTTACTGAGCAGATGAAAACCAAGCCTGGAGAGGTTCTGGGATGCTGAGGACTCTCCATGAGTTTGTAACCGGCCAGGAATTTCAGCAGGGGCTCCCCGCCCCAGCTGAGGGTGTGCAAACCACTGAGGCCAAACCATAGTGACAGTGTTTACCAAAAGAACAAATGATTGATGGCTTATAACACTATCCTTCCTGAATTCTAAGATGGGAAAATGCTTTTAATGTTTCTGAAATCTGAATGTGTCATACGACCTGATCTAATACAGTATTTTTTTTTTGAGCATCTGCTATAAATTGATGGGAGTGCCTGAGGGAAACTGATATGACCTCATATAATAGAACACACTTCCATGGAAGGAACTTCCATTCCATGAATACCCCCTCGTCTCTCTTTCAGCCCCTTACTAACTCCTTTGCAAGAGCTATTCCTCTCATTCTTGTTAAAAGTTTTAGATGGTCAGACACTCATGGAGTGGCCTGCGATTGTCCAATTTGATCAATGAGTGGATAAGATGTCAAATTCAGGATCGAAATAGTAACCATGCCCATATTGGCCAGCAGATATAACATGACATTTTTCAAAATGTTTTACCACTAAAAATGAAAAATAAAGGTTAGATTTTGATCTCCCTATGCTTTGTCTCTCAACTAATTCTGGACTTAGGAAGGTAGAGGGGTCATTATTTATTATCCCCTGAATCTCTACCAACTTAGATCCAAAGAAATACATTACAGGACTCCTCCAATGAAAAACAAAACTTTATTTTTTTAAAGATTTATTTATATATTCATTCAGAGAGAGTGAGAGAGAAGCAGAGACACAGGCAGAGGGAGAAGCAGGCCCCATGCAGGAAGCCCGATGTAGGACTCGATCCCGGGTCTCCAGGATCACACCCCGGGCTGCAGGCGGCGCTAAACCTCTGCGCCACCAGGGCTGCCCGAAAAACAAAACTTTAAATCAAAATGTAAGCATAGGGGAAAATATGATACCACATTTAAATAAATATGACATGACATCAAGTTTTGAAGTCCCTAGAGGGGATCCCTGAAGAAGGAATGTAGAAGGGCATGCTCACAACTAGTGGAAGCCCATCACAGAAGCAGCCATGCTCTCAGACTTGCTCTAAGTTCATCCTACTTGTGCAGTCAGAATGGCCACTCTTGACATCAGTCTCGCCACAGCTAAGAAGTGAAAGTGCACTCCTTTTTAAATGTTGGAGCCAGACCAGTGATATGTGTAGCTTCTACGGAGCTTGAAAGAAAGCCACAGCTTTAAAGAGAACTGCCGATCTGATCCCCAGCCAGTAAGAAGCAACAGACAGTCACAGCAGTCTTGATAAAGGCATGATACGGATCTCACACTATGTGCTGCACTGAGCCCACCTCCCTTGTTTTTCCACCTTCCCTTCACTACCTCATCCTCTGCAACCTGACACCTCCCCAAGGTTCCTCCACAAGAACTTCACCTTGGACTGGACAACATGATGAGAGGATGAGAGGTTGGGGGGCAGCGGTGCAGATGGAAGAAGAAGAAAGGAGTTGTGGGAGAGGAATTAACTCTTTGGAAAGGTTTGTTTTAAAGCTTGACTAACTGAATTCACTTAATCAAAGGGCTGTGGCCTGGTCATTCTTTCTCTGAAGGATATTCTGGAGTGTTTACCATGGGCCACTGAATTTCCCTTTTAAAAACTTCAGTCACTTGGGCATCAATAAACAAACAGTGATGGTGAGGCTTTCAGGTACAAATGGAAGAGTGGACACATGAGGCTACTTTTGCTTCCTCCCCAAACCCAATTAAAGGATAGTGAAAGGATTTTTTTTTTAATTTTAAAGTAATCTCTACCCCCAATGTGGGGTTTGAACTCACAACCCAGGGATCAGAGTCACACACTCCCCCAACTGAGCCAGCCAGGCACCCTGTAAAATGATTTTTTTCAAAATCCATAAACCAAGAACAGGGAGAATAAAATAGGAGACAACAGCTGTACAATACTGGAAACTAATGCAGATGGAGGCAGGGAAATGGCACAGCCGACCTGAATCCAAAATTAGCAGTGGAGAGACAGGAGCCACCTCATCTTAACCCGTAGAAACTCCAAAAGGATGGGGGTGGAAGAAGCTCAGCAGGCCTGGTGGAAAGACTACCTAAAAAGGACTTAGATCCCCAGACAGAGTCCCCTATTCCACATACCTGGGCTATTTCTCTATCCCCCCAAACCCCAGCAAATACCTGGAGATTCATTTTCTATAGAGAGTAAAATAGAGGGCCTCTAGACTGGGGGCTGCACGAGGGGGAGGAGGGGGAAACAGCACAGTTGAAGGCAAATGAATGAGATTAGATGAACATATGCATATCAGATGCTGAGACCACCAGCCATCTTCTCTTATTTGGTTCCCAGAATGTGGGCTATCAGGCTTTTACCCTCCAGGCAGAGGAATGAAAAAATGCTCAAGAGAAGACAACTAAGGAGACTCATGTCAGAGTGTCCAATGATCAGGAGGTGTTCTAATATCAGCCCATGATGAAACTTACAATAGAGAAGCCCTATGCAGGCACTCAGAGCTTCCAACCAGCATTTTAGTGTCCCTCCCTCCCCACACCATTCCTTAATGCTGGCAGACAAATCAAGCTCCTCCAGCACCTCTAGAAAGCCCCTTTTGTGACCCTGAGAGACCAAAATAAACAGAAACAAGCAACTTGAAGGTCAGTGGTCTTGCAAGGGGAAGAAAACTTCAAAGAACACCAAACACGGGATCCCTGGGTGGCGCAGCGGTTTGGCGCCTGCCTTTGGCCCAGGGCGCGATCCTGGAGACCCAGGATCGAATCCTACGTCGGGCTCCCGGTGCATGGAGCCTGCTTCTCCCTCTGCCTGTGTCTCTGCCTCTCTCTCTCTCTCACTGTGTGCCTATCATAAATAAAAAAAATAAATAAAAAAAAAGAACACCAAACACATACCACTAAGAGCTAAGTACTGCTGTGCTGAAATAATAGCATAATATAAAAAAGGAGCATTCCAAAGTAAAGAGAATGAAAAATATAATGGAAGAAAAGAAAAACTCAATAAAAGTGTGAGATGGAATATAAAGCTGGAGAAGTCTCCTAGAAAGTAGAGCAAAAAGAAAAAAAAAAAAAAAGAGGGAAAAATAGAAACCAGCTCAGCAGGTCCAATAACCAACTAATAGAAGCTCCAGAAAAAGATTACAGAGAAAACAGAAGGGAGAAAAGCATAAGCTGAAAAAACTGTGAACATTTCCCCAAATTTAAGGGCCCATGATCTTCCAACTTGAAATGGCACATAATAGCCAGGACACTGGATACAAATCAATCCACATCGAGATACATCATTATGAAATTCAGAACCCTAGGGACAAAGACAAGATTCCACAAGCTTCCAGAAAGAGGAGGAAAAAAAAAATCACATATAATAAGGACATTTTCAGACATGCAGTTTCACAAAAAATTCACCTCCCACGTATCCTATTCTCTGGAAGCTACTTAAGTATGTAAAATATGCTTCAAAAAGATATAGTAAACCAAGAGGAAGGCAGGCAAGCCAATACAAGAGAGAAGCAAAGGGAACCTGTAGAATAATGGAGGCAGGCGATCCCAGGAGCCAGCGGTGTGCCCAGGAGAGAGGGCAACCCTGCTCTTCAGAGCAGCTCCCAGAGCCTGCGGAGAGACTGTGTCGGAGGAGAGAAATTACAGGAAACCTGATGTATTTGAGCATCTTAGAAGATTTAAACAACTTTCCAAGCCTCTGGGGTTGGTAAATACTTAGAAAACTGAGCAAAGGGCAGCCCGGGTGGCTCAGGAGTTAAGCGCCGCCTTCAGCCCAGGGCCTGATCCTGGAGATCCCAGTCCCATGTCAGGCTCCCTGCATGGAGCCTGCTTCTCCCTGTGCCTGTGTCTCTGCCTCTCTCTCTCTGTGTCTCTCATAAATAAATAAATAAAATCGAAAGAAGAAAGAAGAAAGAAAGAAAGAAAGAAAGAAAGAAAGAAAGAAAGAAAGAAAGAAAGAAAAGAAAACCAAAGAGGAAAAACAAACAATAACACAATGATTAACTCCATGAAAAACATTGTACAGAAATAATCATGTAATCACAGTTGTACAAGAGTCTGCTTTTAATACCACAGATATAAAGAATATTAATCTAATCAAGGTCATGATATTAATTGTATCAGGAAGATGGGATTTGTGGAAGGGGGTATGTGTATAATGGCGGGGTGGAGAGAGCTAAGTCCCTACCTGTCAGAGTGGGAAGATCAACCTTGAACAACCATGCATCTTACTGAACAACGTGGACATACATGTCAGGTAATTAGCTAAAGCAGGTAAAAGTAGTTACATCTGAAACAGAAGAAATACAGTACA